GGTGTGCCATTTGCAATGATTAAAGTTGTCGTTGTGGATATGCAATTCATGATGAGTGTTATTAGATCTTTTGGAAAATTTAGTGCGTGTAAGGAGCTCCTAACGAATGACCATTTAAGCCTATCAAAAGCCTTTTAGTTCGCCAAGTGACGTGCTTGAAGGAGTGGATTGCCTCCTAGACAATTATTACATTGTCAACTGCTCTCCCAGTCTGTATTGAAAAATATTTTGAGGCTGCTTGACTTTGGGAATAAGCGTTACAAAAGTCCAATTTATTTCCTCCGGGATTGCTAAAGAAATAAAAGCTTTTGTGCATATACCAATGTCAACTGATTTTGTGTCTGTCCAATATTTCTGGAAGAAAATTGGATAAACGCCATCGGGAACTGGTGCCTTTAAAGGTTTAAAGAATTTTATAGCATTATGGATTTCGGAGATTAGGAGAGGTGTAGTGAGTGCTTCTTTATGCCGATATGAGAGAATGTGTAGTGGGCTTGGGTTGGGTGCCATGATTTTCGAACATGAGTCTAGTTCAGTTGTGTAGATAGTTTTGAAGTGTCATGTAATAATAGTATTTATTCATTGAGGGTCAAAAGTCCAATTATCCACAGCATCATTAAACCCTAGTATTCTGTTTTTCCGGCTTCTTTGGACAACGGATATGGAAAAAATTTGTGTTGGCATCTCAATCATTAAGCCACTGAACTCTTGATTTTAATTTCCAAAAATCTTGTTCATTTTGAAGGATTATGTTATATTCTTGTATTAGATTATTTTCTAGGTTTCAGTGGAAATGGGTTTTAATGTGGGGTTGCATATTTTGGAGCCCCATAATTCTTGATCGCTGGGTTCTCTTTTTCTTAAAAATATTCTCAAAAGTAGATTTATTCCATTCTTCCACGTGTTCTGTGAAGGAGGAAATGGAAGTTGTATAGATAGTACTATTCTTCCAATGTTGTTTTACTATATTTGGAAAAACAAGTGTGACTAAGCCACATTGTTTCAAAGCGGAAGACATGTGTTGGCTTATTAATAGATTTTATCATATTTAGTAAAAGCGGGCAGTGGTCCGAGTGTGTACGTGGCAGGTGCTTCACAATAGCATCTGGGAATATTCCCACCCAATTAGTGTTGCCTAGGAAACGGTCTAGCCTTTCATAGATCTGTTGCTTCCTTTTTTTCCTTTTATTAGTCCATGTAAATTATGGCCCCACAAATCCCAAATCAAGCATATCAATAGTATCTAGGCAGCTTAAAAAAGCCGCACTTGTAACGTAGAGACAGAATAAGAGAGTTCAATTTTAATTTCTGGTTCCTGCCCCCTTTTTGAAGCAAAATTACTATGCAGTAACGTACTTGTCGGATTAGTTGAGGTACGTGCAAGCTGATCTTAAATTACAGTGGACAATGCTCTCTTTGGTTTTTAATTTGAACTTCATGCAAAACTTATATAAACCTCCCTATTAAATGTTGGGAAAATTTCACATTAGAACAACTCGGCTCCAAACTTTTTAATTTTATGGCCCATATTTCAATTTACAACCAACTAGCCCAAAAATAATAGGCTAAGATTCAACATCCAACTCCAATAGGTCTATTTAATTTTTAAAAAAGATTCCTCAAGCTTTTAAATTAATTTTCGAATCAGTAACTATGACTCAAATATTAATTCAACAAACCAAATTCATTAGGGTGGTGAAAATTAGATTTTTAACAAGCTTAAATATGTGGGTTTAAATTTCAAATTTAATTTTGTGAGAAATTTGGAGTGGGTGTTATTTAGACTTGTTAGAAATAGTATAAGGAAGTTGTATATAAAATTTGAAGTCATTTAATGGAGATTTGGACTGGTTTCGAACAAGAATTGTAATTGAAAATCGTGGAAGAAGTTCGTCTACAGACGCTTGTATAAAGGTGTATAAAAGTGTAATAGTGTATAAGGTGTGTTTCTACACTCATATACACTATTATACAAGATTATACATAATTATACAAAAAACTGACTTCGTCTTTTTCCTTGTGTCTTTTCTGAAATTTAACTCAAATCTTGCTCAATTCTACTCCAAATCACTTCAAATTTAAATTTTGAGCTCCTTTTGATATTTTCAATCAATTGGAACAACACACAATCCAAACAATTAAAAAAATAAAAAAAAATATTTTCAAAAGCAAAGCTTTGAATGGTCTTCAATGACAGATTTCTACTTTTTAATTTACATTGCAAGCAGGTGACACAAGAGAAGAAACAGAAAATACACGGTCTCTTAAAGCATATGTAGAAGATGTGAGAAGAAGAGAGAGTGAAAGCAGTGGTTGTGAGAACAAAGAATTAACTCCATAGCTTTTAGAAACAGTGGTTGTAAGAACACAGATTTTGAATTTGCAAGTGCTTTCAAAATATGTACAATGTGAGTTAGGTGAGGTAAAACTTAAAAATATGGGCCATTTTCTGTTACGGTGTGAAGTCATGCGTATTTTCTTGTAATTCTTTCTTAAATGTTAGCAGAGTGTGAGTACGTTAGTCGATTAAGGAGTTAATTGACCAAGTAGCATCTAGATATCCATGTTATCCGTATTTAATTTTCTGACTCATTTTATTTTATTTAATTTTTTTTTATATTTTACCTCATTATATTATCCTTTTTGACTTTTTTTTTCATCAATTGTTTACAATGTAGACGAACATATCATATGAAAAAATTATAGTTGAATCGCACCTCTATGTGAAAGCCTAGTACAATGAACACTTATATTGCGAAGACAAGAGACAAAATAGGAAAGACCGAGAAACACTATAAGAATGAAAAAATCAACAGAGACCAAATTATAAATTTCCTTTTTTATTAACAAAAATCAACAAAAATAAGAAAAGGAATATTTATATGATGGTTTAATTTTCCTTTTTTATGTATCAAAAACAACTCAAATTGAACCGCGAAAACGAGCACGGAGAGAGTTTAAACTATCAGAATTCCACTCTTGGATTATGTGGTGTTAATTTTTTTTCTCTTTTTCTTCTTGGTCTAAGCGTTTTTTCATTCAGAGTATCTTTCTGGTCCATTTTAAAATTAGTAAGAGGTTATTTTGATCAACATTATCTTTTATTGGAATTTGCATTATCTCATTAATTCTGTGTTCTGTGTAATCCCTGCAAAAAAATATGTGGTAAATATGTAGACTTGATAGTAGGTAAGTGCTTGTAAAACAGAGTTGTCGAAAAGAGATTTCAGTTCTATTAATTCTTATTCTTTTGTAATAGAATTAATAAGGACCATAGAGAAGTGGACATAGAAAAAGGGCAGTCGGATGCACAAAATATCCCGTGTTCATGAAATGTCTGGGGAAACGCCGCACCCAAAGGGTGTGATATAAGGACCATAGAGAAGTGGATATAGAAAAAGGGCAGTCCGATGCACAAAATATCCCGCGTTTATGTAGTATCGGGAGAAACGCCGCATCCCAAAGGGTGTGATATAAGGATCATAGAGAAGTGGACATAAAAAAAGGGCAGTCCGATGCACAAAATATCTCGCGTTCATGTAGTGTCCTGGGAAACGCCGCACCCGCAAGGGTGTGACGTGGAACAAGAGAATTACAATATCCTTTTCGTGCCACCTTTTGGAAGCAAAATTATTATGCAGTAACAGTGTCCCCATGATATCCCAAAGGATTAGCTTACTATTCGAATATTCAGAGTGATAAACTAAAGATCAAACTTAAAAGATGAAATGTTTTTTCATTTGCCTAAGTCTTGTTAGGCAAGATATGATCATGCTAGTTGAACATGCGTGTCGGATAGTTTAGGTACGCGCAAGGTGATCTTTAATTGACCAAGTAGCATCTTTAGATATCCATGTTATCTGTATTCTCAATTACTCATGATTGATTTCTAGTTTTCACTGTTTAACTCTCTAAATATATTCAGTGATTAGTGCAAATGTTTTCCCTAAATTGTAAAAACAACAACCGCGAGATTATAAAATCCCAAAAGCAGTTTGACGAGATATTGTCCCGAGGAACATAATGATTTCGGGTAATCTTTTATGTTGTGGGAAAGGTTATTTGATTAGGTGCCTGAGATAGGCTATGTATCTTGGAATAAAATGATTAATAAGCTTTATAAGAAAACCACTGTAGGATAGGTATTTTGTAGTCCAACACCTGATGCATTTATAAGCTTTCTAGAAGAGAGTGGAATTCCCAGGTATTTGAAAGGCAATAATACTATTGGTGAAAATTGCAATTCCTGTATATATAAGCTGCTCTTTCAACTCAGGTGCTACTCCACCTACAAACTTTTGTCTAGATTAAACTTTAGCCTAGAAACCTCAGAGAAATTCTATCAGCTCTGTAACATAGAGTTATGCCTTTTAACTCGACGCCTAAGGAGAATGTAATGTCCTGGAATTATGTGATTTCTGAGTATCTAAAGATAGTGATGTCAATTTGCAGCATTTTTTAAATTTGCAACTAAGAAATGAGAACACTGTTTCTTATTCTCCCTTAACATTTGTCAGTGTCGATCGATAAAACACTTTAAAAGCGGAACAGGACAACAGAAATCTAAGTAGCAGTTGGCCTTTCATTAAAACACTAAATGAATGTAGTACTTCTTACTCGCAGCATTTAAACATAGGAACGTCAAAATTCTTCATGAGTTTATGACTGAACATCGCGAGAAAAAGAAAAATGGGTACAAAAAGAAACGCTCCACTTTCATTTCATAGAGATCGATCACTAGAATGGCAAACAATTGGGAGCGTATTAAGAAAACTAACGTCATTCCACTAATGCGAATAAGCTATAATATTACATTAAAAAATGCTCAATCGTCTATTAGAAAAGATTTATACAGCTTGTTGAAAAATATCTATGTATATAGGTTGCATTAATAAAGCTTAAATGCTTAGTTTGGTTACAACATCTACCCTTAAAGACAACCAGAAGTTGCTGGTCAGCCTTTGCAGCACAACCTTGTCATCATCTGTTGTTGATCTTCTTCAGCATCCATTTGGACAACACTCAGATACGTCTTCTAATATCCGATGTAACTCATCCGAGTTCATTATATCCCATAAATCCAAGCCGAGCACATCTTCGGGCACCTTCTTCGAATTTATTTGAGACATATAAGTCATGTGATCAGCCACTTCAGAGTATACCACATGAGCTGAATTGCTGTACATATCAGGCAACACCGACTGATCAAAATTCAGCATGGTGGTTGTGGAAGTTTCGGATGAACTGTTAACGTGCTTCAACTTCTTGATGGCGCAGAGAACATAATCTCTACGGTCTTCGTCTAACTTGTGAAGAATAACCTTAGAAAGCTCGTACTCCTTCATCGGCCAATGTCCGTCTCTCTGATCTTCAGGGTAAAACATTTTATTCTTGTAAGACAAACACGTCTTGGATCCAATATTAACCACTGAAGATGTGTTTCCCATAGTTTTGTAGTGAACTGGTTTGTCCTTGGCGTCCTGTTTCCAAGTTCCCTTGTTTCGGACAGAACGATGATACCTTGCGTTGCTTTTCTTCTTCAGCTTTGTGATAAAGTAGCAATAACTACTGTTGTCCTCATCATCACCACAGGGTACTCCATTGTCGTAAATCTCCCAAGGTTCTTGTTTGCCATAGACATCAATGTTAGTAGTAATAAATCCAGCATCATGCATCTCTTGTCCAGCGACGAATCTCAATAAGAACGTGAGTCCTTCTGAATCTGTGGGGCGGAAACGAAATCCCTCCTCGAACTTTTAAGTGTTCCATGGAATAAGCTCAACAGGAATGTAATTAACTAGCTAGTTCAGAATAACAATGAAAGAAACAGAACAAGGGAGAAATTAAGGGAATAGTATGAAGAACACAATAACTTGCGGAGAGGAAGGAAGGAAGGAAGGATTAATGAGGTTTTATAGGTTTTTAAGTGAGTAACAAGTAGGTTCTGTCGTTAGTTATGTTTCTTCCCCCAAAGTCACAATATGGTAATTGCTAATAAATATGGAAAGTTTCTTATATTCATGTGTATTTATAGATACCAGTTGTTAATTTAGTTTCTTTCGCTCAAAGCAACACTTAAAAGGCTTAAACATATATGGAAACTTTAATTTTGACTTCAAACGAGAATTAAAACACCAAAATATTCTAGTTTCTAATTGTGTTAATTCCAAAAAATAACTTAATGTATCCAGCCTAGAAAATATATATCGGAGTTAGTCATCTCTGGTTCAATCAAATGTAATCTTGAGTTAATTATTTCTAGCTTAGTAAATATTAATTAGAGTTAATTCTTTCTCGTTGAGAGTCACGAAGGTAGTATTATATATATACTGAGATTTTATAGGCAACAAGTTAGGTATTCGTTGGTTAATTATATGATAACTTCCTTTATATTTTTACAAATATATATATAGAAAGATTCTTAAAATTGTGAATGTTGATACCAGGGTGCTCAGTTTCCATTTAGGAATTAACTAATTACTTGGCACAAATTAAAGTTAATTAAATTTCTTCCACCCAAAGCAACACATGTAGAAACTTTTGATGTGAAAATCCTTTTTTGATATGAAAAAAATAAAAGAAACCCTTTTCCCCCCAAATATACATGGAAACTTTTTTCTTTTCCTACGTATATATGTTAATTTGACACGGACCTTTTTTCCATCCAAAAACAAAAATATTATTCTAGTTTCTTGCGTGTTAATTCCAAAATTTAACTTCATACGTGTTTCCAACATAGCAAATATCGGAACTAGTTATGTTAAATAAAATGTTGGCACGAGTCACGCATGGAAATAAGCTACTAAGGTGTAAACCTTTGTATATCTGATAATAAGAGAAGCAGTAGTTTTTCTTCCTTAATTATAAAGTAGGAATGTTAAGTATTAATGTAGAAACTAGTGTTAGAATTCGGCACGGATAATTTGGCAGAATATTAATTTTATAAAATTATGATCCAATATATCATATTATTTGAATAAAGATTAGTTGTTATATTATCTTTTAATATAGTGTGCAAAAATATAACAGAATCTTACAAAAGTTGATCAAATAAATTATTTGTTCCTTATTTATTCTTTATTAAATAAGCAAGTACTTAATACTATACACTTACTAATGTGACATTGTATATACTTGTCAATTATATTGACTTAATATTTTGATACTACTTTTCTTTTAATATAACATAGATATATATTTTCTTACTCTGGAAATATTTTTATTTTTTTAAACTTATGTTATACTGTTCACAATTCTTTAATTGTCTAAATTTATCACACAAAAAATTGAGTGTTATTTACTTATGTTTTATTTTTTAATTAACTTACATTATAAATATCATAAAATTATCTTTATCCCCCTCTCTTCCTACGTTCTTCTCTACTGTAATACATTCTTTTCTACTGTAATATTTGATTAGTTTTCTCATTTTGTATTTTACTAAAAATTTAATTAATGATGTAATTTTCTTACTATATTATAATTTTGAATTCATCAAAAGTATAAGAGATAAACCTTTTATTATTTTTATAAAAAATTTAACAATATTTTGAATAATTATTATTTTGTGTTATATATATAATATGCTTATCTTACATGTAAATATCCTAATAGTATCTTTATATTTTTAGACTTTTCATTATGGAGTTATGAGTTTATTTATTACTAGAATTTCCTACATGGCGTAGATTGATTATCTCCTCCTCAAAAGATATGATAAAGATTTGTGCAAGAATTGCAAGGTTATCCCGAATGAGTCTCTCCCGACACATCATAGGTTCTTGGTAATGGAAGTCNAGAGAAATATGAAGGTCAACAAAATTTACAGCAGCACGCATACAACAGTTCAACAGATTGGACAGCCCTAAAAAATTTCGTGAAAAAAACCAAACAAAGTAGTAACCTCAAAAAAAACTCCAGATTCAATCCAAACAATATCACCAAACAAACCCGGACAGATATGAGGAAACAATATTTCTGATTTTTCTCTCTTTCTTCTCTATTTTTTTGTTCTGTTTCTCTTTTCTGTGTGTGTGTGTGTGCTCTTTTTTTCTGTTTTCTCTTTCTATTTTTTCCCTTCTGTCCTCTCTTTTTGTCTATCTTCTGTGTATGTGAAATCAGTCCCAACACCCCCTCTTTATACAATTAACTCCCTTTCTTCCAGCCTATTGCCCGGACCCCCCTTTTTCTTTTCAAAATAGTTTTTTCCACTCCCATAGCACTAAGTCTGAATTTTTCATTTAATCAGCCACTAAGGACACCTTTTCCCTTAATTTTAGCCCCCCATCTTCTTTTGTTCCCCAGTATTCTTTAAACAAATACATTATTGAACCCTACCATTAGTTGTCTATTATCTTTACACAAACCCACTTAGGAATGTCTCAAATCAGTCCACTAACAAGTTTAAATATTCAGCAGCCTTTAAACAAGTATTCTTGTAGTTTATTTTCCCCAAACTAACCTTTAACTAACTCCTAAAAACTCCCAATAATACTTGTAAGCACGTGATTTTTGCCCTATATGAGAATTACTTCCAAAAAATTCAAAAATAAAATAATTTTTCTTGGTGTGCAATGTTTGTGATATTTTGTGATATTTTGTGTAACTATTTGTATATTTGTCTGTGCATGTTTATTTGTTAAATTATTAAAAATACAAAAAAATGTCGCATTTTGCATGTAGGATTTAATCCTATAATTGTTAGTAATTAAGTTTGTTTTACAAAAAATAAAAATCACAAAAATAGGCATCGTTTGTATTTTTAGCATTTAATGTCCAAATATACAATTTTATGCTTAATTATTACTTAATTGTGCGTTAATTGTTATTGGGAGTTAATTTGCATTTTTTAACTTAATTTAGTTCTTAATAATAATTTAAGTATTTTTATAATTTAGTTTTAGAAAAATAAAAGAAGAAAAGAGAGCAAAATATAAAGAAAGTCGGAATTGGGCCTCTTCTTCGATTTCAAGCCACAGGCCCAAAAAATGACCCAATCTTCCCAAACGACCCAGTCCATTTCGAACTGGGTCGACCCAGTCCATAACCCAACACCCCTATTATCTTACAAACAACACAAAACAAAAAGAAAGGAGAGGAAAACCCTAAACAAGCTAAGTCATCTGCCCCCCCCTCCTATCTTCTTCTTCTTCCTCAAGCTTCACCAAGCTCCATCAATGGCTGCCCTCCTTCTCCTTCTCCAACACACACAACAAACACATACTTGCATACACACACAACAACGCAAGCACACACACGCACGTCGTCTCCAAGCTGCCCTCCCATGAACGACCTTAAAAACCATGAACAACCCAACGCGAAGCTCGCTTCAGCTGCGTCTGCCATTGCTGCATCGCCATTGCTTCGTCAACCAGCTTCACGTCGCCATGGACGCCGTTGTTTCTTCTTCATCGAAGCCCAACTCCATCGCTGCTTCTGTTTCCTCGTCCGCTGCTGCCCGTCCGAGGCCACCATCGCCGCTGCTTCATCGTCTTTCTCCTGTTGCGTCGCGGCTGCTTTCCTTCCTCCTTCCAGCTGCTACTACTTCATGCTGCTTCTTCTTCCTCACTCGACGGACTGCTGCTGCTGCTCATCGCAGCAGTTGCTCCTGCTTCACGTTGCTTCATCTTCTTCGTCTCGTCAAAGTTCGAAGGTCTTTCGTTGAGTCGAAGCTCGGACAGATTTGTTTACAATCGAGTTCGTCGTTGATTCATCTCCGGTTAGTTGTTTTTGAGTTTTATTTTTGTCCATATTTCGTTTTTATATTTTTCGAAGTTAAAATCGTTAAATATTTGATTCTTGTTTTGTTCGTTGTTCATCGTTGAAATAATTTTCTAGTGTGTTCATGTGTTTTGATTGAATTAATTTTCAGATTTCAAATGGAAAGTTAATTAGTGGTTTTTCATGTTTATTTCATGTTTGTTTTATTGTTTAGGTAAGAATTTGTTAGTTTGATGTTTGTTAGATTCAAATTGAAATTTAATTGATTATTTCTTCAATTTGTTTCATGTTGTTATATATTTTCCAGAAATTATTAATGTTGTTTGAG